GTGCCATGTCTGCACCCAGGATCCGAACTGGCGAAACCCTGGGCCACAAAAGCAGAACACACAAACTTAACCACTCGACCATGGGGCCAGCCCCCGTTTAGTTATTATTAAGGATTCCTTTAGCCTATGGATTTCCTCTCTTTCCGTGTTTGCAAGAGATTTTTAAAACTCAAATACAGCTCTTTTGGTTCCTGACATATTTCCAGATTGTATTAAATAGTGTAACATGATTCCCCAGATGTACATTTCTCATAGTTTAGGATGTTGAATCGCTTACCGCTCCCACCTTTCCAGTCCCTCAGTTCCTAATGCTTTACAGCCAAGGCTGTGTTTTTGCACCTCCATACAATCTTATTCATCTCAAGTAAGGTGGACTTTGAAAAACCAACAATGAGAAACCATTACTCTGGCCCTTCAGTCTTTCAACAGATACCCAGTGAGCATCTTCTATTTTAAGATGCCTTGCTGAACATGTACATGAATTAGTGAAAAGTCAATTTTAAGGAATTCAAAGGAAACAATGAAAGTTAACGTGGCTCAAGGTGGGGAAGATTCTCAAGTCATTAGGAAGCGCCTACTTTGTGCAAGACCCTTTGTTACCACAACCCAGAAGGAGCCAGAATGCACTCTAACTCCAGGCAGCTGCACTGGCTTTTGGTTCTGTTTCCTCAGTCCTCATCTGTGCTTTCATCCCTAGCCAGTACTGAGCTGGGCTAGAGCTTGGAGGAGTGGGTTGTAGGACAGAAGCCCAAGCAAAGGGATAAGTGAGAAGAAAATAAGATCAAGACATAGAATTATCTAGAGATAAAAATGGTAATACCTTACATTGCTAAGGCATTTTACAGTCTACAAAGGATACTTTAGTATGAACTGTATTATTAGTTGCATGTTACAGATGAAGAAATTGAAGCCATATGTTACTCAGCTGCCGAGCGGTAGAGACAACTCTAGTGTTCATTTTATTACTGACGTTCTTGGAACAACAGGAGAATGGATAAAACCAACTCTGATAACTTCATACAATGGAATACCACGTAGCAATATAAAGGAACAAACATGGGTGAAAACCAAAAACCTTATGCTGAGTGAAAGAAGTTTTACATGCACATACACAAAAAACTTAATAGAAAGATATAGGCAAAACTAATCAAGGGGTGAAGTCAATAGTAACAAGTATACTGATGTCTGCATTTTATTTTGAGATGCATCAAAAATAGAAAATGGATAGAGGGTTGGATAACATAAGTAAAATCTAGGTGGTCAGTATATGGTGTTCAATGTACAAGTCTTTCAAGTGTTCATAATAAAATGTTAGAAAAAATAAATTATGCTCTATTTTTAATGTTTTTGAAAACAGTATGTATGAGCAAAAATTAAAATTTTTTTCAGGAAGAACAACACAGTGGCAGCAGGGGCTGGCAAAAGACTGAATGAGCTGTGAAACATTGTCTTTGAAACTCTTTAAAAATATCTTTCCATATTGTCTCTGAGTATAGCCCGGCTGAGAGCCACGGCTAAGTGAACCAGAAGGGGGGGTTGACTGGGAAGTGGAATGAGGGAAGCTTGTGAAGTGACGTGGTCAGCGCTGCACAAGAAAAGCCATTTGTCAAAGCTCATTGAATTGTACACTTAATGTCTGCATTTCGTCTTACCTAAATTTTACATTAAAAAGAAAATTAAGTAAATATTGAATTCTAGTTAATTATATGCATGCTTAAGTGTTTAGGTGAAGTACATATGCGTGTTTAACTGAAGTATACTGATGTCTGCAAATTATTTTGAAATGAATCAAAAATGTAAAATAAGTTGAAGGATGGATAGATATGTGATGTAGAGCAAATTGCAGAATGTTAATTGTGAAATCTAGGTTCTCAGTGTGTGAGTGTTCACTGCATAGTTCTAACCTGAAGGAGAAGAGGACAAGGAACTGAGAGTCCAGGGTGTTGGAAGGACTATCTGTATGTCTGTTGAGTTAATCAAGAGTTACTGCAGGAGTGAGTAGCAATGAGTACACCTGGTACCCAGATCTTAGTCTGTAATACCACTCCCCACTAGAAGGACCCAGAACTCCTTGGAGATATGGCAGATTCCAGATAAAAGTATTGTATCAATGTAAATTTATGAAGTTGATAACTGAACTGAGGTTTTTTAAGAGACTGTCCCTATTCTTAGGAAGTACACACTGAAATATTTAGGGGTAAAGGGCCATAGTGTATGTACGATTTAGAAAAAAATTATTGTGACAGGAGTGGTGCTGGAGAGAGACACAGGATGCACTTAACCGATTATATTCTGTGCTGTAAAAGCAGGATAAAGAGCAGATTATCCTCCGTTTCCAATCTTCTAGTGTTATGTTTTCATTTTGATATTTAAATTTTGTTCTGTGTTTTTGGCACAAGTGATGTTTCATTTTTAGTTTTTTAATATTCTCAATGCTTTGCTGCTCTACCTCTAGTATTTTCTTCATAGAGCTTTGTAGGTCTGTTTAACTTAGCCATCTTATCTTAACCTTAGTTTTCACGAGGCTCTGAGGGCATTCATCAGACAGCTCTTAAAGTCTGGGGATTCTTCTTTCTATACTTTTTAAAAACAGCTTTTTTTAAAAGCTCAAAGTATACAATTCAATGTTTTTTAGTATATTCACAATCAAATTTAGAACATTCCATCACCCCAAGAAGAAACCTCCTAACCATTAGGAGTCACTCCCCATTTGCTCCTCTTCCACCTGCCCCAAATCACTAATCTACTTTTCTTTCTCTTTGAGTTTGTTTATTCTGGATATTTCATATAAATGCAGTCATTTGATATGTGGCTTTTTGTGACTGGCTTCTTTTACGGAGAAAGTTTTCAAGGTTCATCCATGTCGTAGCACGTTATCAGAACTTCAGGCCTTCTTTTTGCTCAGTAATGTTCCGTTGTATGGATATACTACATTTTATTTATCCATTTATCCGTTGGTTGACATTTGGGTTGTTTACCTTTTTTCGGCTATTGTGCAATGGAGTAATGCTGCTAGGAACATTTGTGTACAAGTTTGTGTGTGAACATATGTTTTTGTTTCTCTTGTGTGTACAACTAAGAGTCGAATTTGTGGGTATATGGCACTCTGTGTTTACCTTTGAGGAATGGCCAGAATGCCTTCTGGAGAGACTGCTCCATTTTACATTCCTGCCAGCAGTGTATGAGGTTTCCAGTTTCTCCACATTCTGGCCAACATTTGTTATCTGTGTTTTTGGTTATAGCATCCTAATGGCTGTGGAATGGACCTTTATATCCTTTTAAACCCTAAAAATATGATCAGTCCTCAGTAATAAGATGATCTCCACCCTTTTCTAGCAGTAGACCTGTCTCTTCATTAAATATGGAATACATGAAATAAGTGGAAATGAGATATCCCATTTCGTTGTTAATTCTTCAAAATTGTTTGGAGAGAATCTCAAGAAAAGTAAGATAGATTGGATTTTAAAAAATTGTACAGCTAGAACTCATAACTTTTAAATGCCCCTTATGGACGGATATGTCTTAAGCATCTGACCCTGGATCTTCCATAACCACTGATGCCACTGACCATTGCCACTTTAATCGCCAGAGTGGCTTGTTCAGGAGCCTTTCCCCCCCTCACCGCAGCACAGAGCCCGTCGTCTGCTTTCTCACAGGAGCTCAGAGCTTCTGTTACTGCTTCACCACATTGGAGACTCAGGTGGATTTTGTGGGCTCTCCTGAGAGTCTAACCATTAATTCTTAACATAGTGTCCAAAGGAGAAATAGGCTTTTGTCAGACCACCGACTTACAACTGACGATTTTAGAACACAGCTTGACTGCAAGTTGGTGACTGTGTGCACGAGGAAAAGCAAGATAAGTTGGAATTATTTACCCTGATAAAAAGCCTTATGTTGACTTAATAGCCATCATCATGGGTTGTAACTTTAGCAAAGGATTATTCCCTTTATTTTCACTGCAATTTTTACTGTTTTTTAAATTGCATTTTATTACCACAAGTAGGAATTGATAAAGTGGGAAATGAGTTTAATTTTGAAAATATATGTGTGTGTATGTGTGTTTATCAAAGGAAAGTAGATGGAAAAATAGTATTTCTTTCTCTCATACTTTATTTGGCTCACTATAACAAGGAGAGGATGCTCTTAGTTTCGCCTCTCCTAAAAGGCTAGTTTTTCATGTTTCAGATCTACAACCACATCCATCACGTTATTTGGATCTTGGTTTGTTTGTTTTGATCAAGTTTATTTTATCTTTAAATAATAATTGCTATAGAGGATTGGATTGAAATCCGCTCAATATGAGAATGCTTTATACGTGGATTTGTTTTCTTAAATTGACCTATGATAGTTTTAGATTAACTCAGTAAAACATTCCATATCGTTTTCCCTAAAACTCATGCTTTTAGGAGTAAATTGAAAGTCAGGAGTAGAAAGTTCTTAATGCCACTCCTATTGGTCATCCCTATAATCTTAGGCAACTTCCTTTTTAAATTTTTTTGATCTGTAAAAAATAAGAGTAGATCCTCTTTTCTCCACTTATTTCGTTGGAGTATTATGATGGCTGTGGCTGTCAAATGTACATAGCATATAGGTTTATTTTTATTCCTTCCTCTCTCCTTCTCTTCCTTCCTTCTTTCTCTTTTTTGATGCCTTATCCTGAGTTTGTGAGTAGAAAAAAGACTCTTGACAGTTGCCAGAAGCTGTTCCCTGGGAGTCCTCTGCTGTTGTTTCACAATGACAGCACCCACTGGGCTTTTGGGTGACACGTGGCTCCGAGGCCCATCAGCCGTGCAGTATTGATGGAGGATGAGCTTCCTGTGCGGGACCGCGTGGGCCTCGCTCCCGTGGTGCTGCCTCTGCAGGGCTTCCCGGCTGCGCTGGAGTCCCAAGCTGGACCTGGATGCTTCCAGTTCACGTTCTCTTTGTCGGGGGGCAGGCCTTCCCCCAGTTAAATAGGAACTGTCATTCTGGTCATTTCTGCTTGTGTTGAATTCTTACAGCTCTGCACGCAAGGAGATGCAAGTCAGGTGATTGGGCCTCTTACCGAAGGGCAGAGGAGAAATGTGGCGGTAGTGAATTCACTGTATAAGCTGCACCAATCCGTAACAAAGGTAACCTTTATCTTTATTGTGATTAAGTTCTTTTGACTTAATTTCAAGTTGTTCTTTCTTTTTGCCTCAAATTTGGACAACTTATGAATTATTATTTAACTTTTTGCAAAAGTATACAATGAAAATGTGATGACTAAAATAAGCTGATGAATTAAACTCTTTTTAAACAGTCTTTGATCCTGGCTTTTATTATTTGTGTGATGTTTTGTCTGTACATTTGATTTAAAACATGTGAACCGTAGATCTTCAAGTTTGGTTGGTATAATTTATTGAAGAAATGATTTAAGGATAAATCATATGTGTTTCATACCTATTAAAAAGCATAATTTGATATCATGTGGGTAGTAGTAAACTATAGCAAAGCTCATGACAGAATAAGAACTCTTAAGCCCTCCAATGCGTCAGAAAGATTCTGTCCTTTTTGCTTTAGCACAAAAAAGAGGGAGAGGAGCTGCATTAAAAACAGTGAATTTTTATGATGTAATTACTGATGACTACTTGCAAGTAGAAAATATATATACTCTTTTTGCTTTGTTCTACTAATGCATTTTTAATAAATGACTGCCTTCATATATTATGCCTAAGATGAACTATATTCATAATTACTAGGAAAGCAATACTTTCAACCCCATCTTTGACTTTTGAGTAGCTTGTGTTTACTCTCTGTGAACTCTTTTCGAAACGTTTAGTAAGTAGGAAGATAAATGTTTAAAAGACCTGAAGGAAGCTCAGGTTAGATGATGTTCTTGAAAACTGCCCTCTAATATGAGCTTTAATATGCTAGATTGTATTTCAGAATATTTATAGGTGACTATTATTCATTTGCTTAAAATTTTTACTAGTCCTTTTATAGTTAGGGGTTTCCAAAAATGTGTATTTCACATCCTAGACAAAATGTATTTTAAAGGGTTATTAATGGGCAAATCTCAAAAAAGTAAATAACAAACAAAAGTAAATAGAATAAATGATATATTTTCCATTTCCTATAATTATTACTCTAAGGCACCACAAGCAATGAAAGATTGTATGTATTTAGGCTGAGTTAAATGTCTTTATTGATACTTTCAAAATTTTCATAATGTTTGTATTGATTTGTAAAAAGGGAGGTGTTTGACGTGTATTTTAAAGACATTGAAAATTGCAGTCAGCCTAGAGAAGGTGAATTTTCTTAAAGAAATAAGTAAATATAGCTTTAGACTGACCTTTTCAAGTTAAAACTTTATAACTAAAACCTATCCAAACTGAATAAAGGAAAGCTAGCTCTTAGAATCCTTAATGTTTGCATTATTTGAAGTATATATTTGTTTTATACAGGAAAGAGTTTTCACCCTGCCTTAACTAATAAATACAAATGAATTTTTAAAACATTTCTGAGATATTATTCTCAGTAATATCTGAGATATTTCTGAGATATTACTCTTAGTAATATCTCAGTAATAATAACTATTTTATATGTGACTTGTAGAAACAGTTTTATCGTGCTATGGTCAAAATTCGTATTTATAAAAGTAAATGACTTAAGCAAAACTATAACTGCATCAAAACCTTGTTCTAGGTGGTTTCCAGCCAGAGCGCATTTCCTCCAGCAGCTGAGCAAACGATAACTTCAGCCCTAAAGGTAAAAGAATTTAATTTACTCTTTAACTCTATAGATCAAAGTGGATTTTAGAATTTTTTGGATAAGGGAAGATGTCACATTTTGAAAATAATTCAGAGAGCGGCCCCGTGGCCGAATGGTTAAGTTCACGCGCTCCCCTTCGACGGCCCAGAGTTTCGCCGGTTCGGATCCTGGGTGAGCACGTGGCACCACTCATCAGGCCATGCTGAGGCGGCGTCCCACATAGCACAGCCAAAAGGATGTATATACAGCTGTGGACTGGGGGGCTTTGGGGAGAAGAAGAAGGAAGAGAAAAAAGAAGATTGGCAACAGATGTTAGCTCATGTGCCAATCTTAAAAAAAAAAAAATTTCAAAATCCTCTATGTATACCAAAAGTAGCATTTTGATAATTATCCTAAAGAGAGAGGACACATGTCTATTTATATTTTCTAGAGTTTAAAAATATAGCCTTTTGGTGTATACAGATTGTGTTCTACTTATGATAATTGTATCATAAGCAAAAGAAGCCAGAGTCTCACAGTATTCATCTTAGGGCAGTAGGGCCCAGTGTGATCCCAGTAAAGCACTGGTTCTCCACCAGGGTGATTTTGTCCTAGAGGGGATATTGAACAATATCTGGAGACATTTTTGATTGTCATGATTGGGGGTGAGGTGCTCTTGGCATCCACTGCCAGGAATGCTTTTAGACAAACATCCTGCAATGCATAGGACAGCCCTCCACAACAAAGAATTATTGCGCCCAAAAGGTCAGTAATGCCTAGGTTGAGAAACTCTGATGTGTATCTGTAAGGTCTGAAAGCAGAGCAAGTTCCCATTTTTTTATATACTAACATAAATATACCTCCTTTCTAATGTTCAGGAAGTTTAATAAAAAATAATGTGGTATGAGATTGAAAGCCATGTAAGTTGACAATAGGTAACTTTTAAAAAAACAAGCAAATCATTTATTCTTATAATAGTAATAGATACCGATTCTTTAGCATCTGCTGCTTGCCAGTCATGTGCAATACAATCATGCGTCGCTTAACAACAGGTATACGTTCTGAGAAATGTGTCGTTTGGTGATTTTGTTGTGTGAACATCATAGAGTGTACTTACAGAAACCTAGATGGTACAACCTACTGCACATGTAGTCTATATGGTGCTAATCTTATGGGACCACCATTGTATATGTGGTCCATTGTTGACCAAAATGTCATTATGCGGTACAGCTGTATATTGAAATATGACAGCACTGTTCAAGTTATGTATTATTATCTATATTTTATATAACTTAAACATAATAGCTTGCTCAAAGTCATGTAACTGGTAAACCCAGCCCTCACTGACTCAAAAGAGTCATGTCTGCTACACCTTGCCACCATCATTCATTTACTAAATATTTATTTAGTGCTTACTAAGCAAGTAACTAAAACCATACATAAAGACTCTGGAGCCAAACTGCCTGTATAGGAATCCCATCTCAGCTGTTTCACTAGCTGTATGACCTCAGACAAGTTAATAAGGTTTTCTTGCCTTAGTTTCTGCATCTATAAAATGGTACGATATACCTACACAAAGGTAATAAATGTCAGCTATTAGACTAGATTTAGATAACTTGGGTAGAGTTAGAGAGAGATGAAATATTTAGATTCAGAGAGTAAAGAGGATACAAAGAAAGAACAATCACAGAGTGAGAAAGAAAATTGGAAGAGAATGATGTCGCAAATCCCAGAGGAGAAGGGAACTTCTGAGATCACATGCTGTCCATAAGTGACATGGAGGGGGTTCACAGGCCCCAGAACTTAAGGGCGCTGAATTCATGAAAGAGGGCAAGAGGAGACGGTCTGTTTTCCCAGTGTAGTCAGAGGGCACCTGGGCGTTTTCTCTGCATCCTTTTCCGCACTGTGCTCATCTCATGATGATGAAATGTTAAAGCTGCCATAATACAATAATTGTTTTTAGTAAGAGTTGTCCAATTTATTGATGATCATAAAAATACCACAAAATCAAGCTAATATGACCACCCAAAAGGTCTTAACATTCTTGCTTCCAGGCAGGAAATGCATGTAGTCTCCTTTTCTGTAGTTCTGAGTTTTTTCCTTATCTTCTAGCGGTAGCTGTCAGACATTTTTTCATCACTACCCAAGATAAGAAATACGTTTTACTTTGTGACCCTATACACAAAAGCATTTATAAGTATATACACACATATATAATTGTATATATATATATAGGATATACACTATACACATTTCTATAATTGAAACAAAGATGTCACAAAATAATGCTTTTCCTTATTTTTGTTTGTTTGTTTATTTTGGTGAGGAAGATTTGCCCTGAGCTAACATCCGTTGCAAATCCTCCTCTTTTTTTGTTTGAGGAAGCGTGTCCCCGAGCTAACATCTGTGCCAGTCTTCCTCTCTGTTTTGTCTGTGGGATGCCTCCACAGTGTGTCTGACAAGCGGAGTAGGTCCACATCCAGGATCCGAACCTGCGAACCCGGGCCACCGAAGTGGAGTGCGAGGAACTTTAACCACTCAGCCACAGGGCTGGCCCCCTTTTCCAATTTTTTTTTAGTCTACTCTGATATTTTCTATACTCATCTGTTACGTTTTAGAAACAGTCTCATAGTGAGCCATTAAATTGATTTTTTTAACCCCTAAGGATCACAACTTATAGTTTGAGAAAGTCCATTCTGTAGGTTTAGACAAACTGGCTACCCTTTGCCTCATGATAAAAATTTGCTGGACAGGGGCTGGCCCGGTGGCCGAGTGGTTAAGTTCGCGTGCTCCGCTGCAGGAGGCCCAGTGTTTCGTTGGTTCGAATCCTGGGCGCAGACGTGGCACTGGTCATCAAACCACGCTGAGGCAGCATCCCACATACCACAACTACAAGGACCCACAACGAAGAATATACAACTATGTACCGGGGGGCTTTGGGGAGAAAAAGGAAAAAATAAAATCTTTAAAAAAGAAAAAATCTGCTGGACAAGTTAAAAATAGAAATTCCTTGGAGACTAATTCAGTAGTGGGTGGACTCTGAATCTGTATTTATAACATACAACGAAGGTTTCTCCGCGTATGAGTCAGTGTGGGCTGGGGCTCGAGGCCGCGCGGGGAGAACTGCCCTGAGGCTGGGGTTTGCTGGCCGGCAGTGGGGTCTCGTGTGAGTGGGTGCCACCGCCCGCGGAGGCATCGCAGGTGCTGCCTTTGAGAACCGGCTAAGAGAAGACTCCCTCAAGGCCCTCCTGCAGTGGCCCTGCCAGTTCGAGACTTAATTGCTTATGTTAACACAATTCAGTGAAACAGTTTTGACCTTGCTTTTTAGTTAAATCTTATAAAAACCCCTCCGACTTAAATAAAAAAAAGAGAACCTTGAATTTCATAAAATTGTAGGAAACTTACTACATCACTTTGAATTAGGGATAGAATGTTTTGATGCTTGAATGACTGCAACCCAAGAACCAAACACTCATGTGCTTTTATTATTTGATAGAGAAGATATTAAACATACTTTTTTCTTATTAAAAATTATAGGTAAAGACACATGATAGTCTTTTCTTCTCTACTTCATTGAGATTTTATCCAAAATCAAATGTTATTTCAGGGTTGAGGTTCCTTATCTCATATTATAAGCATCATCTAGTATGTTGTGGATGGCATAGTTAACATTAATTAGTGTACATTTAGAGTCATTTCCTTATAACTACTTCAGGTATAAGTAGCATTTAAACACCTTGGCCCAGTAATTCTGATCCTTTTTTTACTGAGATTTTCTTGTGTAAACAGTGATTGTATTGCTAAATTTATATATGATAAGTATTCATTTCTCTCTTATTGTGTGGGTTTCATGTTCTATATAAGGGAATATTCCAGATTGCTGAGGCTTCAGTATTTTTGCAATCTTAGCTATTTTAGGTACATTTTAAAACATGTATGATGCACTTCCCTGCTTTTAAAGAGCTTATGAAAACTAATCTGGCCTCCTGTCTCTGTTTCCTCTGGGAGCTGTTAATCCTCGACCCATCCTTTAAATGTAGGCATTCCCCAAGATGCTCTCTTCTCTTCCTGTTTCTTATTTTCTGTAAATGGGAAACCCCACCCAGCTATAAAGTTTTCTGTGTAAACCATCACATCAAATACAAATAGAGACAGTTTTATTTCTTCCTTTCACATCTTTATGCCTATTTTTTCATGCCTTGTTTCACTGGTTAGGCCCTCTTATATAGCGTTGAATAGAACTGGTGAGAATGGACGTTGTTGACTTGTTCCTGACCTGGGGTAAAGCACTCAATATTTTACTATTTTAAGCATGATGTGAGCTATAGGTTTTTATTAGATAACCTGTATTAGATTAAACAAGTTCCCATCTATTCCTACTTTACTGAGACTTTTTTTAATTATAAATGGTGTTGTTTTATGAAATAGCTTTTTTTGCATCTATTGAAATGATCATATGACTTTATTCCTTTATTTTGTTAATAAAATGAAATAATCTCTCTCTCTCTCTTTTTTTTTTTTGGTGAGGAAGATTGGCCCTGAGGTAACGTGTGTTGCCAGTCTTCCTCTTTTTGCTTGAGGAAAATTGTCCCTGAGCTAAGATCTATTTTGTATGTGGGACACCGCCACTGCATGGTTTGACGAGCGGTGTGAGGCCCCCGTCTGGGATCTGAACTGGTGAACCCCTTTGGGCTGCCAAAGCAGAATGCGCGAACTTAACCACTATGCCACTAGGTCACCCCCTTCTTTTTTTTTAATTCAAGTATAATCGACATACAATATTATATTAGTTTCAGGTATATGACATAGCGACTCACTATTTCTTTATGTTACAAAATGATCACCACAACAAGGCTAGTGACTATCTGTCACCATACAAGGTTGTTCTGAATTACTGACTGTATTCCCTATGCTGTACACTACATCCCTGTGACTCATTTACTGTATAACTGGAAGTTTGTGCCTCTAATCTCCTTCACCTATTTCACCCATCCCCCTCCCCTCCCCTCCCCTCTGGT